GCTTGTGCTGCTCATCCTCAGTCAGGGACAGACTGAAGGGATGCAGGGACAAAGGGACACTGGGCGTCTCCTCTGCTTCCCATCACCTGTGGCTCACAGTGCCTTCAGCATAGCCCCCCTGTACGAGAGCTGTGCCCACCCCAAATTACCCAGAGGGCTCAGGTGAGCGTGCACACACACGTGCACACCCCCACACACATCTGCACCTACCTGTGCAGGCAGCCAGGTGGGCAGGCAGCTGCCCTCCTTGCCCTGCTCCCAGCAGCCTGAGCCTTCTGAGCTCAGCTGCTCATGGCATTGGAGCATGGAACTCATCCTGGTCACAGTGACTTTGCAGCTACATCTGCACCCTTCCTGATCCCACTTCACCCTCCCTGCCTGGTGCAGCAAGCTGCTCACTGGAAGCTCCCTCCTGTTGCTCCAAGGATTCCAAATCCCTTTCTCAGCACAGCAGGGCCCCACCAGAACTTGCCCCATGGGCAGGGGAAGGAAAGGGCCCATCTGAGCAGGGAGTGGCTCCAAGAGCCTTTCTGTGTAGTTTTTTTGCATAAGTCAGCAAGCACATGCTTCAGCTCGGGGACATGGGAAGCCCAGGGAGAGAACTGCCTGACCCTGCTGCAGCTGAGGATGAGGAAGGTGCTTGTGCTTCACAGAGATCAGATTCTGTCTGCCCTGTCTAAGGGGAGGCTTTGCCCATGGTGTGTGCATGGGGTAGGGCAGTGCAGTGGGGCTGGGAGAAGGGGAAACTGAGGCACACACTCTGTGTAAAACCTCATCAACTCCAAGAACAGCTTCTCCTCAGGTGTTCCTAGGGGAAACTGAGGAATGTAGCGGGAAAGCAAGTGGAGAAGTGAACCCAGACACAATGCTATGCCTCCAACCCCAAATTACTGCAAAAGGGTGCCCCGAGGCGAGATAATTTTAGGATCAATTTAGCACTGACCTGACCCTCTCATGCTGCCCCCAAGCTGGTGTGTGGTGTGGGAGTGGGACACATTGCTCAGGACAGTAGCTGGACTTGTTAACCTCTGCCATGGTAGAGGGGGCAATGCAGCAATGGGCTTTTACCCTCATTGCCCAGGGTTTTGGTGGCCAAGGTTGCCAAGCACAGTCAGGAACGGTGGGAGCAGCTGCACTGGGTGGAAGCTACTTACACAGCATGCAGTCAGGTTTCCATCCATCCAGCCATCCAGCCATCCATTCTCAGCCCAGGGGGCTCAGGCCCAGCTGAAACCTCACAGTCACAGGAGTGAGACCCCAACAGGTCAAGCATGGGCTGGGAAACTCAGGGCCAGCCTTTGAGTCTTGCAGCTCAGGGAAAGAACCACAGCACAGCCCAAGTCACACATGTCCCTCTTGGCTGCAGACCCCAAAGCCATCCCAGTGTCCTCCTGGCATGGGGCCCACAGCTGTGAGGTGAGGGCAAGCTTGCTATGCACGGGCCCCATTTCTTATTTTTTTGCCTTAAACATCCAGGCAGTTCTTTCTCCACATTTCTCCAGACAAGCTCACCAATCCCACATGCCATCCTATGGATGTTTCAGATGCTGCATCTCCACTGAGACTACATGGAGTTGGGCAGATTTGTTTAAGGGCTGAGTTAACCTCAATGACCAGTCCCACCCTGCCCAGCGGCCGATGCCCCCGGCAGCCTGGCCAGCCCCCAGCCCTTGAAAACCCCTCCCTGCTCCCCAGTGAGAGCAGCCAGCAGATCCATAGCCTGCAGGGAAGTCAGTGCAACATGCAGATTTGCAGGTCCTGGTTCCTGGCCCAGGTTCAAACCACATTTGTTCCTGAAATCTGTTTCAGGGTTTTCTTTGCGAAGCGCGCGTGTGCAGAGCCATGTGCGCTGGTTCCCAACACAGCCAGTGCCAAGGTCACTGTGCCAACCTGGCACCGAGCTGGGGGCCTGGGTGCCCTCCTAAGCACACTCTGGGCAAGTCTGGAACTAGATGATCAGGGGAACGGGAACTAGATGAGCTTTAAGGTCCCTTACAGCCCAAACCAGCCCACAATTCTGTGATGTACTGGACTATCTCCCACTTTGCTGCCCATTTAAGCGAAGAGGAACCAAAGGCTTTAAAACAGCCCCGTGACACGGGGTGTTTTCTGCTGATGGGTGGAAACTTCAGCAAGACACGAGCCCTCGGGAGCTGGACTGCACCACCCACAGCTACGGGCAGTCGGGAAGAGCGGCTTGGACTGGAAACAGTGACAATCCACGCTCCTGTCCCAGGAACAGCTATGCATGGATGATTATTTCCATCCACAGGTCCGAGCTGCTCTCCAGGCATGGGGTTCAAGGGCTCCCCTCTGCAGGGAGGTGCAGGGGTGTGCTGCTGTCTGACAAGGCTGTTTCTGATGGGATGCATGCTGGACACATCTCCAGGCGGGCTCCGGGGCGAGATGCGGAAGTGAGCTCAGATGGGAAATTGTTCCAAGAGATAAAGAAACAAGTTGGAAACCGAGCTGCAAAATAGACAGCACAGGAAACAATAGCACTTCAGATAGGCTTTCCAATTTCCCACAGCCGTGCCAGGAGTCCAGTGCTTTGTCCCAGGGATGCTCGTGGGTCCCCCCCTGCTCAGACATGCTGGGAGGAGGTGCAGGCTGCTTGTTCCCTCCTACCTCTTCTCTTTCAAGATCTTACAGGCATTTGCTGGTTGTTTAAATGAGAGGTTGTGGACCAAGTCCTTCAGGTGTCATTAAATAAGAGTTTAGCTCTGTGATGACTTCAAAGGCCAGGCAGGATCCCACAGCAGTAACAGGGAGAGGCAGATGGGATTCTGAAGGTGTGGGAGCCCCATGGTCCATCCCCTGCTTGCCTCAGTGAGTTCAGTGAAATGATGCTGCTTTGCAGGAGCTCTCAGGATTGCTGATGTCCCCTCTGTGCCACCAAGGCAGAAAAGGACCCTCTTGTCTTTGCAGCAGAGCCTCCACACTGCTTGGTCACCGCAGCGCTCTCCTCGTCTCATCCCCTGCTCCCCAGCCAGGGGCTGGGATGGCCCTTTCTGCCTCCCCGTGGAACCTCCCTGATTTTCCATCACTCTGGCACAAAGTCATTAAAGGGCAGAGCTATCATTAGGGCATCTCCATCACACAGGGAGCACTGCAAGGCCACTAACGATCGAGACAGGGAACATTGGACTTCCCTTCCCTGCTGCTGCTGTGTAGCCCATAAACAATCCTGTCTTGGGCTGTTTTGGTGAAGCTGGGAGGTGTTTAGAGGAGCATCTGCCCTGCTGCTCCCAGGTCAAAGCTTGGAAGTGAGAATTGACCCTCGATCTCCTAAGCCAAGATGTTCCTCCCTGATATATAAGCAATAACTGGCTAATGATTACAGAGACACAAGCCTCGGCTCAGACACTGAGTGCCACAGTTTTGCTCTGGGTAGATCTGGAGCCAGCTGAAGCTGATGGCTTAGCACAGGATCAAACTCTATGGCAAAGGTGTCAGGGGCAGCCCAACAGTGAAAATGACAGAAAGGACATTGCTTTAAAGTGCAAGATTGCTGATGTCATCCTCCACATCCCCTTCCTCATGCCTTCCTGGGCAGCCCTGTGACTGTCTGACCAACACCTGCTGCACAGGGGGCCTGGGCACACGTTGAGCCCCTGGGTTCTGAGGGGCGTCTCCAAGTCTGGCAGGGACAAAAGGATTCCCACCACTAATGGCTGGATATTGGGATGTTTGTCACCACTCGGTTCTTGCACTGGTCATGCTGGCAGTGGGTATCTCCTCGGCTGAGAGGAGAGCAACAAAGATCCCCAGCACCTCCTCCTCTGGGAGCATCAGCCAGGCAGGAGAAAGAAAAATCAAGTCTTTTGTTCCCACCTTCGTTCAGTTTCACAGAGCGCTGCTGGATATGTGCTGTCCTGTCCCTGTCCCTGCACAGGCAGGAGCTCACCTCAGGGAGCCCTGTGCTCTGCACTCTCCACTGTCCCCAGCTCCTAATGGCCCTGTCTTGAGGGACCCCTGGCTGCATGTCACATCATGTCCCTTCCATTGCATCACTTCTGGGGAGCCAGGAGGACAGGCCATGGCACACACAGGGCAGCACAACCTGCTCCCGGCCACCTACAGCCTTTACTGCTGCTCAACATCTCTGGGACCGGGACCAGGACCACAGTCACTTCCTGGCACCGAGGCCAGGGCTGAGCCCTGGCACACCACAGCAGCCACTGGGGTGAGGAGGGACCAGGGAGGAGTGCACTGTGCAGGGCCAGCAAAACACAGGGAGGTGGAGCAGATCCCCACTCAGTCCAGCAGGTCTCACACGAGCCTGCACAGCTCCCTGACATGATGCAGAGAGGACCATGCCAGGATCAGTGCCACAAGATGCCAGCGCTCTGCCACACCTGTCCCCATGCACACAGCCCTGTGCAGCAGCCTCAGCCCTGCAGGCTGCCTCCCGTGTCCATCCCAAGTGGCCCCAGGATGCAGCACAGCCTGTCTGGGCAGTGAGCGGGATAAAACCTCATCCTGACCCCAGTGTGGCTCAGGGCAAAGCCCACGATGCTCTTCCGTGGCACCGGGGGCTGTGACAGTGGGGACACGCCACTGCCACCACTCGCAGCCGCACACGAGGCTTGGATCGCCCAGGCTGCGACGGGGAACTTCCCGACTGGATGAAGTCTTAAATGGGAGAAGCCGGGGCTCTGCAGCCCCCCAGCAGCTGAGCCAGGCGGGCACGGCGAGGGGCACGACTTGCCCGGTCCCCCAGGGCTGGACACTGGCCCCAGAATCACCGGTGAACAAACACAACAAGGGAAGCGGATCACGAGACATCAAAGCAGGGGGGCGATGAATATTTCATGTCCTGGCCTACATACAGCCCGGCTGTCCCCGCCCTGCGCTCCCGGGGGTCCCCCACAGCCCCTGAGCACAACAAAGGGGAGTTGCAGGCAGGCGGGGCCGCCCCGCCGGAGCCCCCGCGCCCCCAGCTCTGCCCCGCCGGGCAGTGACACCCCCAGCCGGCCCCACGGCTGCCCCACCAGACCATGTGCATCCCGCTGGACCCACCGCCGCCCCACCGACACCCGGCGCCCGAGCGCCAGCATCCTTGTGGGGACCCGCAGCCAGGGTATCGCACGCTGCCGGACCCACAGCTGCCCCACGGCAGCCTGGGCACGCTCGGCTGGAGCCATCGCCTCCTTGCCGAGCTGCCAGCATCCCCGATCGGACCCACAAGCAGCTCGGGCCACCGCGGGCATTCCCCCGCCGACCCGCCGGACTCCTCTGCGGGCATCCCACTGCGGGCATCCCCCCGCCGCCCCGCTGGTCCCCACTGCGGATATCCCCCGCCGGAGCCCACGGCCGGAGCCTGGACATCCCCCGCCAGAACCCATGCCCCGAGCCTGGACATCCCCCTCCGGACGCACTGCCGGAGCCCGGGCACCCCCCGCCGGAGCCCGCTGCCGAACCGTGGGACCCCCGCCTGCCCCACAGCGGGGCAGCCCCGGCACTCACCTCCCGCCTGTCCGCGGAGCGGGGCCGCCCCCGCCGCTCGCCTCCAGCGCTCGGCCCCGGCTTTGTCTCCGCGCCGGGGGCGCGGCCGCCGCCCCCCGCCGCCGCCGCCGCGCTCGGTGCCCGCACCGCCCCGCACCGGGCCGGGCTCAGGGCTGCGCCGCCGGCAGCAGCATCGCGCAGCGCCGCTGCCCCGGCGCGCTGGTGCCTCGCCCGCCCCCGCTCACCCCTTCTGCGGGGCGGGGGGGAGCACCACGGGGAGGGGAAAATAAAAAAAAAAAAATTAAAAAAAAAAAAAAGAGTAATATGGCAGCAAACCGGAAACGGAGGATGGGGGAAAAGGCAGCAGCAGCCCCTCCCCTCCCTCCGTGGCTTTTTTTTTTTTCCAGGGAGAAGGCTCCGGGCAGCCGGGCTCCGCGGGGCGCGCACGGGCCAGGGGCCGCCCCCGCCGCCGGCGCTGCCGGCGCGTCCCGGCCCGCGGCGGGGGAAGCGCCTTGGCTGCGCCGGGGACACGCGTGGGAGCGGCGGCCGCGGTCCTCAGGGCGCGTCGCCCCGCGGGTGAGGGGCTGGGGGTGCTCCCACCCGAGCCCAGCGCTGCTCGCCCCGGAGGGCTGGCTTGGTGTGGTACCTGGAAGCCGGAGCTGGTAACACAAAAGTGATTTTCAGGAGGCTGAAACCTCCTGGCTGGGTTGCGGTTCGCTTTATTCAACAGCTCTAACACACGGCGAATTGCGGGGGAAATGCTGTTTTGTCAGGTTCTGTTCCTCCTCATCCCCAGGAGGGACACCTCGCCTTCCCAGAGGACTGCAACCCACGTTCCCCCTTCCCTGAAGTCGGAAGGAGGCAAAACTTCAGATGGAAAGCAGGCAAAGATAAACCACGTCCTGTGCCTCCCCGGGGAACTTTGTGGGGCCCTTTGGAGGCAGCACAGGCACTCAGCGGTGTCTGAGCTCCGCTGGGGCACCCATTCCGTTTAGGGGTGAACGTGTCCCACCCCTGCTCGCCCCTGAAGCCGGTGTCGGATCCAAAACAAGGCAGAGTGGAGCTGCGGGTGTTCTGGGGGTCCCAGTCCCCAGCTGGCAGCATCCCCCGCTCAGGTGTGTGTGTCCCTGAGTTCCACTCAGGAAGGTGGGCACACGGGAACAGTTCCACCCATCGTTCCCCTTGCTCCTCAGCAGCCTCCCCTTTCAGCATCAGCAGCGGGAGGTGGGAAATGCCCAGCTCTGCCCTGGCACCGGGGTGCACACACGGGCTCAGGCTCTGCCGGGTGCCCCGGTGCCTGCACCCAGCCCGTCGGGGCTGCCCGACCAGCTCAGCGGCGCTGGCAGCCCTCCCACCTCCCCCACTGGCGATCCATTGAAGTGTTCCCTGTCACGTTATCCTCCAGGAAGAAAGGGGGTGAAGCAGTCCACTCCTTAAACCCACATTTAGCTCTTTTATGCGGCACGCTCGGCTGCCGGCCAGCTGCAGTGACCCTTGCATTTCCACAGCCAGCAGCACCTCTGCCGTCCCTGCCCACCCCTCCGACCAACGCTGCAGCCACTCCGCGGGGGCTTTTCAAAAACCCTCCTTCCTCTGAGCAAGATCTGACATTTCAGAAACAATCTGGGAAGTTAACAACTTTGAAAGAACTATGTGGTGGAGTTTTTCTTTCTGTTTCCCACTCCCCCCCCCCCCGCCTTTTGAGTTATTAAAGAAGTATTTCCCATGACACTGGCGAAGGCCAGCGAATCCATGAGTCACCAGGAACAGGGAGTCATGCACGCGCCGATCCATCGGCCGTGGCCAGCACATTGTGAGGGGCCCTTCCCTGGGAGGAGCTGGCGCTGATAAGGTCCCTCCGGCCGCGCAGGAGACGCTTTCGCCTTGGGCTCCCTCCCAGGCCGGCCGGGCTCCCCGGACACCCGTGGTGTGCGTGGTCTGGGGGGTCGGCCCTGTCTGCTCCAACCGCAGGCTTGGGGGTGTTATTTCTTAGCCCACCCTCTCTGCTATTCAGCTGTGGAGGGAGGGATTTTTCATGCGATGTGGGATGAAGGGGTTAACCCGGTGGTGTGGAGTACTGCTCTGCTCACCCACGGATGTAACACAGGGGAAAGAGGGGGTCACAGCAATGCCTGGGCAGCCCCACACCTCCTCCCTGCTGTGCTGCACAGGGACACAGGGACGCTCCCCTGTCCCTCCCTGTCCCAGGAGCACCCACTGCAGCTCGGAGCTCTGCCGGAGGGGAGAACACCCCAGGGAAGTGGGGACCTGGCTCCAGCCCCGGGTGAGCTGGTGAGGATGACTCAGCCTCTACTGGATGCAGACCCAAATCTAAGATGCAATTATGACTTATAAATATTTGTATTTTGTTTTTCTCTTTTGCAATCAACTTCTTTTCTGCAGGCTGTCCTCCCAATCGGAGTTCCCATCTCTGGCGGTGCCGGCCCATGGCTGGAAGGCAAACGCCCACAGCACTGAGCCTTTCAACAGCCAGACCAAGTCCACGACACAACTTCTTCTTCTTCCTCTAAGATGATGCCAATGTGCAAATATAAAATTACAAACAGACACAGTCTAAAGCCAGACTCTTATCTTTTGGTCTCAAATGCTGGAATGTGCCCTCACAGGGCTGACATTAAACACGCAGTGCTGGTGATAGTGCGATTTAAGACCATTTAAACAACCCAGCTCACCTCAGGACACTCCTGGCTCAGACATGAGGTCTGGAGCCTGACAGCCCCTGGCCACCCACTTCCCTTTGCCTCCTGCCTCTCTTCAAATATTTATCTTTAAGCAGTCTAATGCAAATTGCTGCTTTTTTCACCCAACCAGAGATTTCGGTCTCTCGTCCGAAACTCATTTTCTTGATATGATTCTTCACTTTTAAATAGAGCTGATAAAACCCACCCCAGAGAGAGGAAGAGGGTTACAGAAACTGAAAACCAGATACTTTCAATTTGAACAAAAGTAGCACTGAGCATTTCCAGTGGCTTGGTTATTACAGGACGGCTTGAAAAGATACTTTAAAAAGAAATGAAGACACGCTCAGGTATTTCTGTGTTTTCTTGCTGACCTTTACACGAGTTTCATCAGCAACAAGAAGAATGAGAGTTACTGTGGGCAGATGCTGTCATGCTCATGAGTAAGTAAGTAAGTACGTGGCTCCTTCCCCTCCAGGTGTGCAGATCAAACTGCTCCACAGGGCTCCCAAAATCCTCCTGTGAGGTAAGAGGGTGCTTGTTGGGTCCAGTGTTTGATCTGAGCCCTGACCTCCCCAAAGTAACTGGATTTACAACAAAACATCTATTCATCTCCAGCCAGCTTTATTTTTCAGCATCCCCTTGGCACACGTGAATAAGTTTTGTCTATTGGATTCTGCTCCTGAGGCTGCACTTTGTTCACTGCAAATTGTGAGTACAGTTGCAGGAATTATTACTATTAATAATATAATGGTTATGTTTGAGATGCTGGACAGAGAGAGAGAGAGAGAGAGAGAGAGAGGCAGCCATGGCTCTTGCCCTGAGATTTTATGATCACTGAGCTTTACAGCCCTGTAAATAGTGAGTGTGAGATGGGAAATGATCAGCACCATCAGCCCTGTTAGGGAAGCTGCAGTTTCAAGCTCAGGAGCTGATTTACTAAGGGGGATTGACCAGAATAACCCTGCAGCACGAGCCATTTGGCAATATTTCATGCTAGAAATGCTCATTCTGGCCATTCTCTCCCACACTGAGCATCGGGGCTGCAGGAGCAGCGATCGCCAGCATTCTGCAGCTTATAGGATAAAAGGGGCACCTGAGAAGAAATTACCAGGAGGGCTCAGGACCTGTTGTGTCCCTCAGCGTGGTGACAATCTGCTATGCAAAAGGGGCCCTTAGCCCCTGCCAGGAAGTGTCATTGCAAAATTCCCTGGGGGAAAGGGCTGCGGGGAAGCCACTGACTCGGTGACATGCAAATATTTAATAAGGAGGCACTGAGTTCAACAGCTGTGGGCTGAAATTATCTGCATGGTCAATAAAGGCACAACATTTCCTGTCAGGGTTCTGACTGATAAAATATGCTTTGATACAATCTGAATTAAGTATCTTGGAATACAGCTCGTTTGGGCAAAAATCTGACACATTTTGCTTCTTGCCTCAGCCACACACAAGATGTTGGCATCTCCCAGCATGGAAATTCTGCTTTTTGGCCAGTCTTAGTATCCATAGAAAAGAGTGATTCAGAAAAACTCAGGGAAGCTCCTGCAGCTGAGATTTATAGCCCTGCTTCTGGCTTGGTTTGGGAGCAGAGCAGTAGAGGATGGCTGGTTGGTGCAGAGCTCTGGTAGCCACATCCAGCAGACCCTGCCCCAGGGCTGGGATGTTCCCTCCCTGCCAGCACCCAGCTGCTGGCTGGCCTGCCTGCAGCCTGAGCAGGCAGAGCTGGAGCAGACACGAGGGTGTTTCCCCTTAATCATCCAGCCTTGGTCCTTGGAGCGAGGGATGGGCAAAGGAGGCCACAGTCTGAATCTGAAAAGCTTCAGCCATGTGATGCTTGGATCCCAGCTCAGTTTAAAACAAGTCAAGTGAGGGGGGAGGTAGGGATGAGAACTGCTTGTACCCTTTCTCAAAATCTGCTCCTCCTGCCCAGGCCTGACACTGGGGGATATCTGCTTCACCAAAGGAGCCACCACAGCACCACAAGGAGCTGCTGCATGGAAGCACAGCCGTGAGGAGCCTCTCCTGCACACAGCCCTGCAGCTGCAGCCTGGCCCTTTGGCTAGAGCATTGGGCAAGAGCTGCCCTCAGGGAGCCACAGGGATGTCACCCCACAAGCTCCAGCAGGGATCCTGCCTGTGCAGCCAGAGCTGAGGCACAAATAACAGCAGGAAACGTCTGGAGCTGATTCCTGGAGCTGCACAAGCGGCTTTGCCTGCAGAGCTCGATGGTGTCTGCTGTACTCTGGACTTTGGCTCATGGCAAGGTGAATTTATAAGCTTTGGATGGCTTTTGCCATCAAGAGCAGCCAAAGGGAAGGCAGCAGGAGCAAGCCTTGGAGCCAGGGACACCTGGGTTTAGCTTGGGCAAGATATGAGATGTCTCAGGCCACTGCTGATGTCTTCTTTGGCCCCAGTCCATGCACTGGGACTGGCTGAACTCGACACAGGGGTGGCAGCTCAGAGGCTGGGACAGCCTCTGGCAGAGACATGGAGCTGTCCCTTGTGCAGGTTTCACACAAAAGGAATGCTGTGCAAACAGGACTTCCAGCAGAGCATGATGCTAAAGACACAGCTCCTTGCCTGGAGCTGGAGATAGGGAGAAGTGAGAGCCCTTCTACCCACAGCTCCCCATTTGGGAGCTGAGCTCCTTTCATACAATGAGAGACATCAACCAGGCAACAGATGCTTTAAAATGTGACCAAAGCAGGTTTACCTTGTACCCAGCAGCCAGAAAGGCTGGACTGGAACCATGGAGGAGCCCATCAGCCTCCGAGCTCCAACCCCCTGCTCTGCATCACTGAGTCCTCACCTGGCCTGTGGTTTCCCAGGGATGGCAAGCAGAGTGCAGGGGGCATCACAGCCACACAGGGGCCTGCAGGCAGTAAATGAAACCAGGGGAGCTGTGAGGAGGGAAGTGGGCACTGCAAGAGGTTTGGGTTTGCACAAGACAAATCCTGTGTGTGCCCGTGAGGAGCAGGCTCTGAGGGGTGGTGTGGGGCACATGCAGCACCACAGCACTCACTCATCACCAGCTCAGAAGTGTGGTGAGGGATGGGTTTGGCTCCTCATGGCTTGGCACAGCTCTCCAGGGGTACCCAGGGCTCCCAAGGCAGGGGGAATTCCTTCCCTGGCTGTTACATCTGCTGGCTGAAAATATCATTGCCAAAAATTACAAAGGGACACCTTCCTCCATCCTGGGTGCTCCTGCACCTGCTCCTTCTTTGTATCAGTCCTTGATAACAGCAGGTAATGCTCACTGTCACTGGCAGGTAAAATGTGTCTGCAAGGACAGAACTACTGCACTGGACATGAGTCTACAGGCTGGAAGCAGCAAGAGGAGTGATTTATGGTGACAGAAAAGTCACAAATTGGGAAGAAGCACCATGAAATGGGAACATCAGCTGAATTTCAAGGGAGAGGCAGGAAGCTGATTTCATTGCCCTGCAGTTGCCAGCTCCAAGCAAGAGACACTTGGAGCAGCTACTGCCCAGTGGCCTGGGCACCAACAGCCAGAAAACACCCCCACAAACCACCACTCAAAAGGCACAAAGTGCCAGAGAAGAGCTGGACCTTGGACCTGCAGTGACTGTCAGCTGGAGGAGGAGTACAAACACTGATTACAGCCCACAGCTGTGGCCAGGGAGAAAGGGAATGCTTCCCAAACAAATCATCCCCCATGGCTGCATGAGGAAGAGGAGGGTCAGATCCTTCTCAGTGCCAAGGCCAGCAATCAGGCTAA